ATATTACATATTTTAATATGTATTATGTATATCATTCTGTCATAAAAATAAAGTACTACGACACGAATGAACCTCAAAAACATAATGCTAAGTGAAAGAAACTAGACACAGGAGATAAGAAATAGTATGATTCTATTTATATGAAAAATCTAGAAGAGATAAATCCGTAGAGACAACACAATTTGTTGGTTACCAGCAATGGAGAAAAGAAAGAAATGAGGAGCAACTGCTGAACGTGTATAGAGATTCTTTTCGGGATAATGAAAATGTCTTGGAACTATAGATGTAGTGGTTACACAGCACTGTGAATGCCACTAAATTGTTCACTTTAAAATGGTTAACTTTATGTTGCGTGAATTTCACCTCAATTTAAAGAAAAAAGAACAACCAGCTGATTTTGAAAACATACTGTGTAAAAAGGAAGTTACATTGAAAGGAAAAGTTTGGAACAAGTTATTGCATTTCTAATCAAAGTTATTTTTTAGGTTCAAATAAGCGTTTAAATTCACATAACCCAAAAAGGCCTTCCTGGATAAGATTCAGATATCAAAATACATGAACAGGAAGCACAGTGTATCAGTAAGGGTACATCAGACATTTCTCTTCCACAACCATGTTTACAAAAGTCCGCACAGTGGTACAGAGGTTATTCTATTTGGTTTCCAACTGAGTATGAGACCATTCTGGTTTAAAAGTTCTACGTCCACCATATAAATCAATATTTCTTACACATATTCCTTGAGCATAGCTTCTGGGTCCTCTAAAGAAATATTGACCCATCATAAAGTTATCCCACACAGAAAAGCCAGGTGCTAAGCATTATAGTCGTGTATTTATATTTCAATTATAGTCCTCTTCATTCAAATGCATTAAGGGTCATTGTTCCAGGCGTTTTCTCCAGAAAACAAATGTTTAGTGATTTTGATTTTATCAGCTCAAAGAAGCTATTGCTAGCTCAAAGTTTTTAAAGATATTCTCCTATATACTCCTTTACATGTTTTTTAGGTTTTTCTTTAATGCTTAGATCTATGATTCACCTTAAGTTAATTTTGGTATGTGATATGAGATAGACGTCAAAATTCATTTTCCCATATTCTAGCTCTCCATTTTGGAAAGACTTTCTAATTCCCATTAAGTAGCTTAGACATCTTGTGCAAAAATCTGTTGACCATATACATATGAGTATATGTCTGGACTCTCTCTTCAGTCTCATTGATTTGTCTGTCTCCACAGTAATGTTGCATGGTGTTCCTTACTGTAACTTTATCATAAACACTGAAATTAGCAGAGTAAATTACTCTACTTTGCTCTTCTTTTTCAATATTGTTTTCATTATGCTAGGCATTACGAATTTCTATATAAACAGTAGAATTAGTTTGTTAATTTATATGAATAATCCTCCTGGAATTAGGCTTTATATTGGATTGAATCAATAAATTAACCTAGGGAGAATCAATATCTTAATTAATGTTGAGTTTTCCAGTCCAGAAAGATACTGTATCTATTTACTTATTTAAGATTTCTTTACTTTCTTTCATAAATATTTTGTATTGTATTCTATATAGGTCTTGAATTTATTTGTTAAATATATTTCAAACT